TCATGCCATTGATGAAAATGTTGAAAAAAGTAAATAAAGCATCATTCCTTGGGGAACCATACTGATGCCACATCTCCATCCTGAAAGATAACCATTTTGCTTGCAATTGTTTAACCAGCTTTCAAGCCATAAAGATTACTCCTCTAGTCCTGTGTGAATGTAGTTTCTTGAATATCCTGTAATGCGGAACCTTGCCAGAGACTTCTCTGCCAACTAGATCCTCTTTGCCCAGAACAAAACTGAAGCCATGCTGACTCTCTCCTAACAGCCCATGCTTATCCAGTTGCTCAGGGATCTTATTCTTTCTTATTGGCTATTACAGCACCAGAAAAGGAACTCAAGACTCCCTAGTCTGTAGTTCAAAGGATCCCCTAAAGATCCTGTTTTCCACAGGCAGGAATTACACTGCAATCTGGAGTCCTCTGCCAGAGAGGCTACTTGAAACAACAGTTTACGCACCATGACAAGCAGTTCTGTAGTTTTCCAATTGCATTCTTCCAGGAATCTCACATGACTGCCACCCTAGATACCTGTTAGCATCTAACATACCTATTTGGTCTTACATTCTCATGTATTTCCTTCAACTTAATCCAGCCTCTCTGACATGTCTGCTATAAGGAACGTGAAAGGTATGAGAACCTCTGCAACATTTCAGCTGGAAAGGCCAATACAAATGATTCACTGAACTTACCTTTTATAGCTTTATCATCCCTGAGAGTCCCTTTCACACTTAAGTTACGAGGTGGTCCCACTGACTCCCTAGCTGGCTTCCTACTTTTGATGTGTATCAAGTCCCTTTTACTATTAGTTTGAGCATATTTTCTACAGATCTCTTCAAATTCTTTCTGAGTGCTCTTAATTTTCTTTTCACAACTGATCTCCACTGGTCTCCTCATGCAGGCAAGCTTTCCCTTTTTAATATACTTTTAGAATAAGCAAATGGCTGCTTCTCTGTCACTGAAGACGATAATAAAAACTGAATAAAAGAAACCTCAAAACACCCAAAATCTAAATCACATCCTCTGGAACAAAGCAGCAAATTCCCTCCAGAATAAATGACAATTAAAATTCAGGTATTTCTTTTCTTTAAGAAAGGCATGAGAAGTGGTAACTATTGTAACTTTTGTACTGTATTGGTATTGTAACTGAAGCTAGCCAGCATGTATCTGGGAAGATGTAAGCTCACTGTGCACCAGCCTAGCACAAACCCTGTGCACCACTTCAATCTCACTTTATACAGCAAGATAAAGTGAGATCTAATTAGTAGAGAGGCCTAGTCTAGCTGGAGTGAATTTCACCCTTGCTTGTCAGCTGAATTTGACTGATTTGACATTCATTCAGAATGAAACAGCTCATTCTGGCTGTTATCTCCAAACAAGTGGAGGATAAGAAGATTATCAGGAGTAGTCAGCATGGATTTGCCAAGGGGAAATCATGCCTGACCAACCTGATAGCCTTCTATGATGGCATGACTGGCTGGCTGGATGAGGGGAAAGCAGTGGATGTTGTCTACCTTGACTTTAGCAAAGCTTTTGACACTGTCTCCCACCGTATCCTCACAGGTAAGCTTAGGAAGTGTGGGATAGATGAGTGGACAATGAGGTGGATTGAGAACTGGCTGAAGGAAAGAGCTTAGAGAGTTGTGATCAGTGGTGCTGAGTCACTGTGACTCAGCTGTGTTCCCTAAGGGACGGTATTAGGGCTTGTCTTATTCAATGTATTCATCAATAACCTGGATGAAGGGACAGAGTGTACCCTCAGCAAGTTTGCTGATTATACAAAGCTGAGAGGAGTGGCTGACACCCCAGAATGCTGTGCTGCCATTCAGCAAGACCTGGATGGGCTGGAGAGCTGGGCAGAGAGGAACCTAATGAGGTTCAAGGGCAAGTTTTCGGTCCTGCACCTGGGAAGGAATAACCCCACGCACCAGTACAGGTTAGGGGTCAACCTGCTGGAGAGCAGTGCTGTCGAGAAGAACCTGGGAGTCCTGGTGGACAGCAAGTTGGCCATGAGCCAGCAATGTGCCCTTGTGGCCAAGAAGGCCTATGGTATCCTGGGTTGCACGAAGAAGAGTGTGGTCAGCAGGCCGAGGGAGGTTCTCCTCCCCCTCCGCTCTGACCTGATGAGGCCATATCTGGAATACTGCATCCAGTTCTGGGCTCCCCAGTTCAAGAGGGACAGGGAGCTCCAGCAGAGGGCTACAAAGATGATGAGGGGACCAGAGCACCTCTATTTTGAGGAAAAGCTGAGAGACGTGGGTCTGTTTAGCCTGGAGAAGACTGAGAGGGGACCTTATCAATGCTTATAAATATCTAAAGGGTGGGTGTCAAGAGGCTGGGGCCAGACTCTTTTCTGTGGTGCCCAGTGGCAGGACAAGAGGCAACAGGCACAAATTGCAGCACAGGAAGTTCCGCTTGAACATGAGGAAAAACTTTTCATTGAGGGTGACAGTGCACTGGAACAGGCTGCCCAGAGAGGTTGCGGAGTCTCCTTCTCTGGAGGTGTTCAAAACCCGTCTGGACGTGTTCCTGTGTGACCTGCTCTAGGCTAACCTGCTTTAGCAGGTGGGTTGGACTAGTTGATCTTTAAGGTCCCTTCCAACCCCTACCATTCTGTGATTCTGTAATTTCTGTGTGATTCATCAGTTGAAATTTTATATATTCATCAGGCTGGAAGGAAAACGGATCAATGCAGAGGGATTGTTGCTGAAAAAAAAAAAAAGATGAAATCCAAAAAGCGAGTAAATGTAGGTAGGAGTGTCTATGAGTGCAGAAGGCTATTGCTTCCCTGAACACAGCTGCAAAGGGCTGACTGCTGTCGCCCAGGGCTGTGGCAGAGCTCTGCAGGGCAGGCACATGCATGCACAGTGTCCCAGTGTGCTGAGACTTGGGCCACAGGCTGAGCACTTTCTCAAAACGTTCTTAGCATTTTCTGACAAAGCAGGTATTTTGGTCTGTGCTGCGTCTCTGAATGATGACAGAATGTATCGAAGCAGTAAAATTAACTTGTTTTCAAATTCATGCAGAGCAGGAAGAGGCATTTTTGCTATGCAGACACAAAACTGCTTCAAAATGATTCATGCACATGTAATTAATAGTTTTGTACTACAGAATCAGAGCCAAAGGAATCAGAACTAGACCTATCAGCATTATAACATCCTGATTTCACTCATTACATTCAAAAAGAACGTCATTTACAGTGCAACTTTCCATCCCTGATTCCCAACCAAAAGTCTTTTCTTTTATGATGTTGTGTAAGGGTCATAATTTCAGCACAAGTCACTCATCTGTTTTCAATGGACACAGGCAGACTTAAAATGTACTTTTCCATTTTGAGATAATGCCGACATTTGTATTAGTGGAATATTCAGAAACAGCAGAGCATAAATACTCAAAATTGTGCAGATGATATCACTGGCTGATAAAACACTGTCCTCTGGCCCGTACCCTGGAGGCATCTTTCCTTTCGCTTGATGTTGTGACTCTAGCAAGTGCAGGAGTACTAGCAGGACTGGGTACTAAGTAAGTATGCATAAAATTTAAAATAATGATTGTTTCTTTTGCCTGCCAACTACAGTAATTCTATCAGACTTTGAAATGTCTGTCTGTGGCATTGATGAGTTATGCCCAAGAGCAACTGCATTTTCTGTGCATTGAAACTTTTTAATGATACAAAAGATAATATCACATACCATGATATCAGAGTTGTTTTTCTTTCTTTCTTTACTTTTTAGAAACAGAAGATATTTAATCTAAAATTATACATTAGCACATCATTAAAGCTGCAGTTTTTGAATGCAGAGCAGTAAGATGTCAAACCAAAGATTTTGACAGTACAGGTATTTCAAATGAAGGACGTATGTTGATTTCAATAGGAGTTAAGACCGCAGCTAAGTATTCTTCCTGGACAGAGTAACAGAGTCCTGATTGGGGGCCTCAGTTTATTAAATTATGTGGGTATCTACATCGCATCTACACAGTAGACTCTTTGCGAGAATTAAAAGGAACAATCACTCAAATAAAGATGCTTTCCCTTTTTGAGTAGAAAATATGATGCCTTTCAGACTAATTTCTCTGGCTGTCTTGCCTTCAGGATTTCCTGTCCTATGTACTTTCAGACCATGCCCAAAGGCTTGCATCTCAAAATGGAGGCAGAGGACCTAGCCCTCTCCTCTTGTCAAATTCTGTGGTAAAAGAATTCACCTGAGATAAATAACTTCTCCTCCATTGAATATTACTCTGTTGTACCCAGCTTTCCATATATCAAGGCTCACAGAGTGGCATGTCTGCAGCTGCAGAAAGGTGCCTAAGTCAAGAGGCAGGAGGCATTCCTTGTAGGGACTACTTTTGCTGTACCTGCTGCAATGCAGGGCTTGATACATTCACCCACCAGACACGGATGTGCAAAAGAGGAAAAATGCAAATAACAAAAGAAGCTTTACTTTTTATTGAAAATGTAAAAATCATGTGAATCATGTACAATATTTTCTCATAAGGAAAATTTTAGCTGTTTCATAACGTTTCACAAAACTGTAAAACATTTCATTTTATAAAGACTTTCATAAAACAAAGACAAAACTAAAGTGTATTACAAAGCTATTTTCTAAATCGTCAATGAAGAATTGACTAATTCATACAAGTGGCAGGAGGAAGGATTGTTCCATTTGTAAGTCTGCAAGAGGACACACAAAGGTATAGAGGGGCACAGGTTTTTTGTTTCAAAACGTTTAAAATCAAGTGACATGTTAAAACAGTACAGACGTGGATTCATAGGATGGTACAAGTTCTAAGGCTGCATTTCTCTACACTACCTCAAACAGTGCAACAGTGATTCAGTGTAAATCTCTACAGTGTTTCATTGATTCAATACTTGTTTTCAAGTATGTGTCCATGAGAATGATCAAAATTTCTACTTAGCTATTTTAATTTTCTTGTTTATAATATAAGTTACAGTAGATTATCCCCTTCAGTATGTTTCTAAATCAAATGAACTGATTTCACAATACATTCTGTAATAACCTGTTCAATAATGTTAGCTTACTCACCTCAACATCTGTTGCAAAATACACAAGATCATTCTGACTCTGAATGCCAAAAATATAATAAAATTAAAAAGGGCTTTATTTCCATATACAACAAAACTATTCAGCTAAATTAAAATAAATTCAAGATGACATGGTGGTTTGGGTTTTTTTTGGCAACAGAGTGACGACCCTACTGAAAATAAACATTTAAAATACTAGTTACTATTTTTTAAAAATTCTGATAAATGTATCAAAAATTGTTCATATAAAAATTAATTATGAAAATGTCAGAGGATAAAACAAGTTGACTGTCTAACCAAAACAATTAAGGATGTCTGGCAGGCAAAAATAAATTAATTTGATTAAATTATATGTAATCTGATAGTATTTGGTCCGAAGAAGCGTGTGTGTGTGTGTGTCTGTGTATGTGTGTGTGTTTATAAATAATAATATTGCAAAGAGCTGAGAGTCAGCCAGCCTGACAAAGGTCAACTCTTTTGTTGCATTTTTTGCGCATAAAAGTCCCTGCATGTCTCACAGCACCGCTGATACCACCTCATGTCTTGACACAGGTTCTTCTCTCTTATCACCCTGCAGTACACAGGCCACTGGTCTCCCAAGCACTTGAATGTCAAAGCAGCTGTGAAAAAACAAGAACAAAATCAAATATACTTTACTCTTACATTTATTAGTGAAGAATCAGGTAGCAAAGGTGACAAGAACACCACAAGTTTATCTGGGGAAGGGAAAGGAGAATAGATGTAGATATTCATCAAAAGGAAGACAAAAGAAATCCTCCAGCTGCCAGTATTTTCAACATTACAATTTTTTATGGCCAGCTTAATTTATAAATTGGATTAAGTTGCATTGAAATGAATTGGTTTTATGTCATGCAGCTGTCTCCTCATGAGAGAGTGAAGCCCATCTTTCTGCCCTATACGCAGGCAGGTTGGGGCTGGGGCCAGGTCTATGTGGGGGCTGCAGAGCCAGTTCCAGCAAAGTCACATGAAACAGCAGCTCCAGATGAAGTTGCCCTCAGTCTGAGACAAAAGTTGCTGCTGGAAAAACAGGAAGCCTCAGCTTGAATAGTTACACAGAATTAGGTTCTCAATGACATCTGTAAGGGGATTTTTTTTAATCAGAGGCAGGTAGGGAAAAGTAGGAAATAAAGCATGGGGATCACTGCTGGTTTTCTGATCAGGTTTTGCTCAAGAAATCAAGACTTTGTGCCATGTTGTCAATGAATGGAAACTGAACAAAACTATGTGATGTCTTACATTATCTTTCCTTGTTAGTGAAATACCCTACTAGACCTTTAGTTTCGTCTAGATTCTTTGTTCACAGGAACAGAAATATACTGTCTTACTAACTTGAATGCTACAGATGCCACACTATGAGGCACTCTTACCAGGTTTGAAGACACTAAGACCCATAGTATGTTTCATAATGCAAATCCATTTTGTGTAGAAGAATGAAACTTACAGTATGGAATCAATGACAGTTGATATGTGGGCAAACATACTTGTCCAGGCCTAATTGTTGCATTTTGTGCTTCTCAAATGCACAAACATTGCTTTTCTTACCTTCTTGACCTTTTTCTGTCCTCAAAAAGTCCTTTTTTTTTTAAAAAAAAAAAAAGTCTTCCAATACATTGGTCTGACTGCATCACTCTCTTTTTAATCACTCCAATGGGTCTTCCTTTTTCTGTGTCAAATTATTAATTTGCTATTAATCTTTACCTTCACATCTTTCATGTCTTCTCTTCACCCAATTATTCAGGTTGCTCTATTAGCAGTCTGTCGCTGCTTTCTAACTGTGGGAATCCTGGACTACCAAATTCTTCCTCAGAAACCTTCTAAAATGACAAGGACATCACTGTAGCCTGAAAAGCCACTGTTCGGCTTACTCTACCTGCTCTCATGGTTGTTTTAAGTATTCGGTTTTCTCTAGCAGTCACAAACATTCAGATGCAGAAGCCTGACTTCTGTTGTGTGCCTGTTATACAAAACAGGCATATTTTCATGTGTGTGGCTTCCTTGTGAAGCCATCTATTAATCCACCCACCTCTTTCACTTATGAAAGCCTCTTACAGTGCTTAACATAGAAGGACCCTGGTACCAAATTTGGATCTTTGCATATTCAGTTATTAAAGCCATAGTGCATATATGGAATTAATATCACAGAAAGTCAGAATTACAGAATGGTAGGGGTTGGAAGGGACTTCTACAGATCATCTAGTCCAACCCCCCTGCTAAAGCAGGTTAACCTACAGTAGGTCGCACAGTAGTGCATCCAGACGGGTTTTGAATATCTCCAGAGAAGGAGACCCCACAGCCTCTCTGGGCAGCCTGTTCCAGTGCTCGAATATGGGAAAACAGTGAAAAACAGGGCAAAAGAAACAGACATAATCCAAAAATCATCATAAACATTGAACTGAAAGAAAGTCAGTCTCACAGAAGATTTTACTCTCCTTTTTTAATAGAAATGAAAGAGAAATTAAAGCATATTTATATGAGTAGAGATGGTGCAATCCACATCAGCTTCCACTAGCCCTGCCCCTAAATCCAGAGGATCTGTACTGCACAATAGGAATAGAACTGGAGGCAAAAATGATCAATATATTCAATAGAAGCATTGCATTTTGTATTTTGGAGATGTTAATGTTTCTACTGGACTGGATTCTGACTCCTGCTGGATAAGGCTGACCTGTAGTTTACTAACATCAGTGCTACATAATCCATTCTATGAGGACAACATAGCCCAATCTTTTTGTGCACTTCAGATTAAGTCAAATTTTAATGAATCTGACACTGCATTTTTCCTGTGAAACTTTGTGATTCACTTTACTCTGTGACACAAAGCTGCTTATAGAGGGAAAGCGTCAGTGATGAAGTAATGGCCTCTTGCTTCTTACAGATCAGTTGAACAAAGAAAGATAAAGTATGAAGGGCAACCTTAAAACAGTGAAACAGCAGAAGAGAGTGCCATAAGCAACAGGTCTCATCTCATCCAGCAAACTGAAACAATGACTACTATACCAAAATGTTTAAGGGTTAAAAACTTCAAAGGGAAATACCCTTCACTGATTTAAAGGAAGGATTACATACAGCCTGAAATCTTAGACTTGCTTTCCATGCAGGAGTAATCTATTTGACAAGAGGGTTTATCTTAACAAGGGCTCTGGAAAGGGCATGCAGTCTTACAGCAAGCCTTTGAATATTCTCCAGTCATGCTCAAGAAGCAGATGAATGATTTGAGGAGCTAATGGTAAGACCAACATCATCAACCCACTACAAAATAACAATTAACAGAATCAACAGTTCTGTAGTTACGCAGTAACAAAGTTTCTTCAAGACCAACTGAGACCAGAGTTCCTTCAGGAAGAGCAAATCTCTTCATGTCAGTAATTTTCCTTCACACATTCTAATCCATCAGGCATGGATTGCAAACATGTGAACTAAAGACAAGTGGAAAGAGTTATTTGTATCTGAGGAACAAATAAGGGCCTCCTTGATCTCACAAATATAATGAGAACATGGTTTGCAGAGCTTTTAAAGGGAAAACAAGGTATTTTCTTACTTTAGAAGTGTTCGATAAAATTGAGTGGACAAATACATATAAACATATATAATATGTTTATAATGCCTCTAGTACAAACATATTTTCATCTACGATGTTTTGTGTCCATAATATCATACCATCCCACAATATGGTTCTTCTTTGGATAGCAAAACCCTTCACCACTCTGAGGTACAGTCTCTGATGCACACACTGGAAAACTGAGGCAGAGATGAGTCACTGAGTAGAATTTACATATCCTGAGTCCTAGCCTTCTGTTTTTAAACTGTGATGGTCATTACTCTATGGAGAGAAAGAAGTAAAAAGAGACTTCCAGTCGGAATGTGTCATTTTGACTGCTTACCTAACCTGGGTGATGTTATTGTGTTAACATTAATTTTCTCATTGCAGGGGTGGAGATGACAGGGTCTGTAAGCTGCAGGCTTTTCTGAGGAAAAGCATTCATTGCCATGCCTTCCCGTGATCTTGTGCATGCACTGGATGACTCGGGACTGCATCCCTTTGCCACAGGTGATGGAGCACTGAAACACACAGCAAACACATTAATTGGAATGGTATTTGTGCCTGTAAATGTGAAGGTGAAATGCCAGTCCAGGTGAAGTCAGTTGTCAGCATTCCAAGATTTCTGCCTTCCATTCCATTAGCTAAATAAAAATCAAAAAATCACAAATAAATTGGCAGTATTTATTGAAGGACTGATTCCAGCATCCTGTTGCGCTCAAGATCCACTTTGTGTAGCTAGCCTGTGATGAAACTAAAAATCAGCGATGTGCCTGAAACGAGAAGGGGCTATTCTGCTGTATCTGTATCCCAATTTACTGTTATTAGAGGTGAAAGTGATGGAAAAAAGGAAAATGCTCACAGACCCTGACAAACAGAAGCATTTTTAATTAAGCCATTATTCCTGCCAGTGCAAAAGTGCTCTTCCTACTGAGCAGAGTGTATGCCTCCTGTCTTTGCACCACATCTTCATGTTTTCATGTGCGTCTCAGAAATGCAACATGTGAGACATGCTGCCTGGCCTCCCATCTTGTCACCACAGAGAATAAGGTGAGAAAATAAAACAGCTGAGCACTGTAACGATTCTACTTCTATCACAGTAACATAATGTATTAGAATGAAAGCTTGGGCAGTGCTGTACAGATTCATACACAACCTATTCCACATCAACAAAACACATGCCTTCCCCTTTGCTGACTTTCTGTGAACAAAATTTCACAGGGTATGAATTACTTTTGTCTCCATTGACATATGTTCTATTGCTTAAACTACAAATTAATTTAAAAAATTATAATTGCAATTTGCTCCTACCTGCTAATGATTTTGAATCAAATACCCACAAATTTCCTTATGTTTTGGAGAAATTTACAATACAGGACATCTTCAAATATTAATTTCTTGCTTTAAATGATATGAGCACTGGCTGAAAATTTATGCCACTACCATACACAAAATCCTGGAAATACTTTTATTCTTAAAAATCTTAATTACATAAATATTCAGAATACATTTCTTTGGGAGTCTTCAAGAAGCAGCTCAAAAAATATTGAAATCACAGAGAAAGACAAGGAGAGGGTTCTATAATAAAAGAAGTTTCCCAACCAACCTGTCTCACGATGGAGATGGAAAAGTATAGTTTTCTGCAAAGAAACAATAAATTTTGAGTGTAGGAGGCACTAAAGGGGTTTCTACCTTTTTATGTTATAGAGCTTTTAGTTTTGTTGTCTATGTGCTTTTGAGTGACATTTTAAACACTGTTACTTGGAGAAGAGATTTACACATGCCAAATGGGAAACAGAGGGCTTACACCCACATATGTACACCAAAAGAAATAAGATTCATGTCTTTTGGACTCACGAGACTCCAAGACAGGTACAAGAGAATAGGATACACACTCAAAGGGTGTTTTCACAAGTGACTGAACAAGGGTCAAAGCATACTTCAACTTGTAACCACATGAAATCAAACACTGGCATTCTATAGAGGCAGCAAGTGGACATGATTTTATTTCTGTCCTCAGTGATGTGTATCAGGAGTAACTCCATAAAGTCAATAAAGAACTATAATTTCTTGCAAAGTCAATCAGATACAGCCTGCATGAGCCAAGGCATGCAAAGATATTAAATTATGAATACATAATTTTCTATTCAATAGCAACCACAGCTTAACATATGAGCAAATATGTTGTTCACAGCAGGGAATCCAGCTAGTACTGAAGTATTTTCAAAGTAGAAGTCTGTCATCAACTTTGAACTTGGTATACTGCTTTTAAATTGCACAACAAAAAGCCTCTCAACAGAATTCCTTTTCCTGAATTCTTCACCTTTTCCCTCAGCAGCTAAAAATAATCTGACTTCCTATAATGGCCAACAATATTCACACGGTAAACAAGTATAATCACATATACACATACCCAAATTCAATCACCAATAGCAGCCAGAACATGAATTTTAATCTTGCCAAAATTCCATCCACTTCTTGGATTCCTCTCTCCATAATTTCAGAGAGGTTTCTCTTTGGAATATTCTAATGGAATAGCAAGTGAGACAATGGAATAGCAAAACTAAAAAAAAAAAAGAACAACAACACAAAAAAACCCCAAACCTGAGAATGAAGGAAAGATGAATGTAGTATGATGAAGATAATATGATGAAGCCAATGAGATTAAGATAATTTTTAAACAATAACACAGGGATCTTAATTTAGAGTAATTTTGCACACAGTATTGTATTTTTTTCCTTCAGTAAAACAGTTCCATGTTTATTAACCAAACTTAGGGTATGTGTGAGCTTGTAGTATGTATGTATCTTCTTTTATTGGCTACAGAGAAGGAGGCCAGAACCAGCAGGATCTGGTACATAAGAACGCCTAAAAAATAATTTATCTGCCCTTAACCTTTGGTTATCTTAAAATGAGTAGGTGCAACCTAGGCCTCTGGAGTACTGGAGGGGAGAATGGGATTCGAAAACACTAGACACCTGCTGATAAAATGGGGTCCAAAGGTTTATCTGCTCATTGACAATACATAACAATTCATGTATGCAGGTGTCTTTGAGGAGCGCACTCTGGCAGCAATCACATCTCTCTATCAAATGAGCTCTGTCCTGGAAGCTTTTCGTGACTGCAACCAAGAAAATATGCAACAAGCAGATCTCTCTCTCTCTCGGCTAATCACTATTTAGGCTTCAAGTTTCTATGCAGAATTTGGCAAGATTTTGGCATTAAGATCTTCACTGGTGAACTAACATCCCTTTAACGACTGAGCTGCTACTGGCCTTTGTGAACTACTTTAAGGAGTATTACGAAGCATTACAATGTCATTTTCTATCCAAAATGTACACATCTTGCAAACAATTGATTTTAGTCTTGCATGATCTACTTATTAACATCCCAACTTTAGAGGAAGAAACTGACATAGAATGACAAAATAAAATGTCACACTTCATATAGGAAATATGTGGCGAAGCAGGAAATAAAGAAAATTCTTTATTCCTTATTCTTTATTCTTCTGTTTTATCTTCTTTTCTTTTCACAGAAACGTACTCATTTTTAACTTCGTATTTATTCTTATGTTATAAAACTAAGAACTTATATTAAGTCTTGCAAGATGTCTGGGGAAAACTGTGAAGAGGCAGGGCTATCACATTGATTTGCAATCCAAAATTTTCAAAGCCAGCCTGATCAGTTTACAAGTAGAGAAGTTTTTCCAAACCACTAGTGTTTTAAAATCAACCAGGGATCTGATAGGCAAGCTGTGCTTTTCCCTGTTCACACATCATCATCATCAGCGGTGTCTGACTTCAGAATTAAGAATTCTACTGGATTTGAAGCCAGAAAAAAAAAAAAAATCTTTTTACAATATCTGTATTATCTCATATTCAAAGTAGTATGAAACAGGGAAAACACACTTCAGGTATGGCATTTAGCAGTGCATTTGCTAGCTACACAGACAAAATGTGGGATTTTTGTTTGTCTCCATGAAGTTGTCTTAAACCTGAATTTGTGCTGCATACATACCAGCCAACTGCTGGTATAAGTAAGAGCAGCCATTGAATGTTGGATGATAAAAGGCATCTATAATATCTTTTTTTCACTCTGTGAAGGTATAGACTAGGTCCAATTTCACTAGGAGACACCTCAACTTCTGCAAACCAGCTAGATGCAACTCAGAGTAACAGCTCTAACTCATTTTCATACTCATTTTACTGCATATGCATGTGCACATTCTAGATGAAGCAGATTCTTCCAAAACTGTCTCCTAAGCTTGCCTCATTTTTGGATTTCTCTCACTGAAAATATTCAGCCTGAGGCAAATACCTCTCACTGAGCAGCTGTCACATTTTAGGTAGCACTTGCGGTATGTAGCTAAAGCTGCATAGCTTCTGTATACTTCTGGAGTTTCCATGTTTAAAACTGTAACAAAGCTTCCAACTTACAGGAAAGAAAAAATACTTTCATTTTTACCTATTAAGCAGTGAATTTAATCAGAAAGCAATCTGTCAAAACAGCTTGTATTTTCCATGATTTTATATACAGATATCTATATTAATATGACATATATAAAATGTACAGAAAATCCCCACTCCAAACCAATCTGTAGCAACTTGTCTCAATTCAGCAGAACTCTAGCTTTTAATACTAGTGAATGAATACTTTTCTATAGCTCTTCTTCCCACCCCCTCCAACCTCCCAAATGTCACTCTTGCAAATACTATATTTTTGTGGTGGTTAATTTCATTTTATTTCTGACTGTTCAGATGACCTACACTTTAAGGCCATGTGGCTGATTAGCAAAAATTCCCATAGGACAACTGTGTTTGTAGGTTTAGACTAAATGTTCTAATACGTAGCCAGAGGTTTTTTATGTGGCTGTTAATCTGTGCATTTTGGACACAGTCCTAAAGGTACTGTAAAACCGTTCAAGCAGCAAGATATGTAAAACATTTCTGTTAAAGATTACAAAAAATTCCTGGATAAATATAGTTAACAGGTTTTTTTTTTTGAAAGTTTTTCTTTCTTTCAAATAAAATCTACCTGCCCTGTTTGAATTTTGTCCTACTTTTGAACTTCTTTTAGACATAATTTGAAGGACAGAAACCTAGGCGTTAAATATAACAATCCTTACACTTGGCGTGCACACCCATTACCCAAGATTCCTTCTTTCTGTTCCCTGCCAAAGATATAAATTCTGGAGAAAATACATATTCCCAAGGCCAACAGCTGAGGAAGGTGCTGTAATTCGTTAGCTGCTTCCAGCTGGCCTTCATAAGAAGTAGGAATTCCTAAATTAAGGGAAAAATTGTCATTGGCAGACAGTAACGGTTAAAATGCATCTTTCTGCCAAGACAACAGGCAATCACAGCAAAGGCTGATACAATCCACAACAAAAACCTAATCTGTGACGATATCAACAGAATTGACTTTGACAATTTATTTTCAAGAATAAATGGATTGTTCAGTAAAAATTTTTTACAAGTCTAAGTAGCATTCAAAGTCAAGAGCAACGTGCTTGTAAGGAAAC